TCGCCAATGTGTGCATAGGCGTCCTCATGGACTGAGGACGTAAAACCTCATGAGGACTGAGGGCGTGAGGTTGAGGTCGGATTTTTTCCGTGAGGACTGAGGACGTGAGGTTGAGGTCGGATTTTTTCCCGTGAGGACTGAGGACGTGAGGTCGCCGATCTATAACAGCTCAGCATCAAACTGTTTTCTTACTTTCCAATCAAAAGGAGAGATTCAGTCTGCACGAGACAGAATTCCTGGATTACAAAGGGGGTCATAACTTCCACAAAATTATTTCCAAACCTGACTTTCAGCGGAGGAAAAGATTGTTGCAACTTTTTTTGCAATGCTTTTGAAGCATCTTTTTTGTGCCTTCTCATCCCAGTAACACTGGCCGAATATATATTTCCCCCTGCGGTAAAAATAATCAAGGAGAGTAGAATACAGTCGGTGTAGACCAGGGTGAAGTGTACCACACGAAAATAGTCCGGGCTGTCTGAGTGTGATAGCTTTATTGCTGCAAAACCCAGCAGAACTTGCATACAAGATCCGCAATGGGCCATGACAAGCAGTATTCGTTCTCGGATGCAAAAATTTATCAGTTTCTCGTACACCTGAAGGAACCTGTATTTCTGGTGAGAAGTAGTTCGAACCTTGAGAAGGGTGCTGCATTCCATCCAAAATGAGGCAACGCTTATCATCATTACGGAAATTCCATGTCAAATTTGGAATATTGGAGTTTTTTGTGGGTGGGCAAGATCGCGCGGTTCAAAAAGTAAAATAATTGAAAAACCACTGTTGTCTGCGTCCCGCACCGGAGCATTATTTTTTCGGAGGACTTTTGTCCTCCTCCCGCAGCAATGCTATTTCCAAGAGAACGACAATTGTCCTCCTTCCGCTTTAAATGGTTAAAGAAAAATATACAATTCTAGATTACCTTTCGATGAGAAAATATAGTTGAGTACTGGGACGTGGTCAAATTTCAAATCAAATCTAAATAGTAACGCAGTTATGAACGCCGTCGTTAGAACGGAAGCTTTTATCTGTGTTTCTATAGTGTCTGATTTTTTTGCTGTTGCAACAATTTGACACGTTGTGTAGACGAAATGCAGAATGAGGGAAAACAATACGATTTTCTTTTCTCTTTTAGAATTTAAGGCAAACTTTTCGCCTTCAGAATCCCAAGTGGCGAACACGCAATGATAAAAGTCACCATATTTCAGTGCCGCTGGATACATCCCAATAGCTTTGTTTGACTCATTACGGCATTTTTTGTAGTTTTGTGTTTGAGTCATAGTTGGGAGGCCGTAGAAGAATGACAGAAATTGGAGAATCCCAATGAGATTATTTTAGGAAAATAAGGCTTAGCAAGGTGCGTATTTCATGGGACTTGCTTTCAGTGGGCGTTATTACTCTGTAGTCATGAATATTTTGGTATTGTCTGGATTATTTTAGTTTAAATATAGATCGATTCGAGCTGTCGAAATTCCAACCGTAAATAAATTATAACACTTCTGAAATATATTACAGAGGATGTACATAATATGCAACACGGCTCTAATTAAATAATAATTTAGAATGATAACCAGGAGTAAACAAATGTCAAACCCACAACTTAAAGCAAGATTCATAATATACGAAATAATTCAATATTAATGTGACGGGATTCACGACGACGTCATAACCTGAGCTTCGCAACATAAACTGACAACTTTTACGAAATTTGCTCTACAATTTTGTGTAACATTTGCAAAGTGATTAACTCAATTGGACATTTTGCAGAAATCCTGCACGGATTTTGAAAAAAAGAGATTTTGATCTTAACCAAATATTTAATATTTGTGGCCGATCCGCATCAATTTTACATACTTTTGTCCACCAATTGTCCTTGTTGGACTTCTCTCACATGTATAACGATGTCAGCATATCCATCATCAGAATGAATTATTCAACGGAACCACTCCCTCTGCATACTGTGACCATATCATTTTATACAAAACTGTCAACTTCGATGGACATGAGTTAAACACATGTGTAAAAATTCATACAAGTAAAACTAACATTATTTCAAACAAAACTTTTCGCGAAATATTGAAAGTATTTCCAAAGAATAAAAATTCGTAAAAAAATTTATTCATTTTACTAATAAAATAAAAGTTTTTTTTATAAATATTTGTTTTGCTCTTTGCTTTCCGACAAGTTCCAATCCAATCATCTTCGCACTATTGTATTGCTAATATTTCTCATAAAGGTCATGCTAAAGATTTATTGTGATGTGGCAGATATTTTATTATCACATATTTATATTGCATAGACAGTGTAATGTAGGTTAGATAAATATACCCTCTACAATATTCGGATTGGTATAGGTAACCCCTACATTTTCCAAAATAGAATAGAATGTCCATGAATTCCAAAAGTTCATCTCTCTCTCTCTCACTGACCTTATCCCTTCTTGAACTTCGAAGGTTGCCCAAGAATATAAATGGTGCGGTAAAACCGCTGAAAATACTATTTTCTCAATGGTAGAGAGATTAAAAGTAATAAACAAGGCGTGTGTAGAACCTTTTGCATCGGCATAATATTTCTGGGGCAAAAATAGGGGCAAGTGCCACCTCGACCTCATAGTTTCAAATTTGGATATGGACTTTAAATTACACTTCCACAATACAGTATCTGTTTTGCAGAACAAAATTGCCCCTATTTTTGCCCCATAAATATTATGCCGATGCAAAAGGTTCTACATACGCCTTGTTTATTACTTTTAATCTCTACCATTAAAAAAATAGTATTTTCAGCGGTTTTACCGCACCACTTATTTGATACTTTTCACCTTTTGAAACATTAAATTTAACAATTATATCTAATTCATGCCAAAAACGGGCAAATATGAGCTTTTTGACCTATACTTTTCAAACGGTCATGAGTCACCCCAGGTAAAAATCACCTTCGGCATCGGGTAGCTCTTCGAGAATACCATTAATTTGATACCCCGTATGACATGGTCATTAAAAAATTTTCATGACCTGTGACCTCGACCCGTGACCTTAAATTGGAAGACTTATGAGTAACTTAATTAGTAGTCCAGTGTGGGTGGTCAGTTTATTAATGATAGACGTCGTAGCATCACAATCGGATGACAAAGTCAAAAGTTATATGGGTAAACATTCAAGGTTCAAAAATCGCGCCAAAACTCAAAAACTAAGACAGATTTCGAAAAAGTAGGTCCTCTGAGGATTTTAAGTTGGACCCTCCCCTACATAATCCCAATTTGGTTCATGTCGCTGAAATGTAAGGTGTGAGCTCTAGCTTTGTGCACTTTTTGATATACGAAATTTCGATAAAAATTTCGATAAAATAATTCGAACTTTGCGCCTCACGGAAGACTTTATTCGAAAAACATATTCAGATAACTATTGAAGGTAGAGTATTTCCGGATATAATTGTAATTACATGTATGTGTCTATCATGCACCCAACTCATTTGGGGTAACATTTGAGATTTTTGATGAGAAAAAGCGATTAATCTCGATTTAACGAAAATGCTTCGAGATATCCACAATCCCAGAAAATTCATTTTAAAGCTCAGGGAGTGCATCTAACGCACTTGACCGCATCCCCCTAAGTCATACCGTTTCGCTGTACGAGCGCCCGAAAGCCGCCATAAGCGTGAGTGACAACATACTATATGTTCCCATATAGCGCGAACTGTCTCACATTGCCCCAAAATGTGAAACAGTACGGCTTTAAGGAAAAAAATAGAAAAATTTGCCCTCGAAAGGATTCATCACCTTAGCCTCGTACCATTGCAACTGCACATTTCTGTGAAATTCAAGTACACATCATTCATCCTCATCATTTTCAAAAAACCCTTCACCAGTGCAGATTGTAGTCACATTTAAAGTTAAAAACACAAAGTAACACTTACACAATACCTAAAAGGTCCACTTTTTTGTACGTAAGGAACTTAATGCATTATTGAATAAATAGATAAACAGTTTTAAGTGTCATTTTGAAACTCATTTTGGCATTTGTGCAGAAAATGAGGAACATCGGAGCCCAGTCCTATTTGGGAACAGCCCTGTTTCTGGTCCACTTATCCCTTTGCTGTCATCCCCCACCTCCCAACCGTCCAGGCCGCCACTCGTCCTCCTCAGTGCCCATTCACTCGCTCCCAATCCAGGCTGGGGATGTCATAACATGCGAATTAAATGCTTATGCAGATCACGTCATGGTGGCCACCTCATCCGAAGATGTAGTCCATGTTACGGGAGGGGTCTTTAGAAGTGTTGCGTCCCTGAGAGAAGAACCTTTTTTTACGAAGGCATCCCTCAAATACAGATCATGCCAAGTGGACACTGCCAAATTTGATGGGATGATCACCACTGAAATGGCGACGGTCAGCTACCCGCCGCACGAGGCGATAAGAAGGGCCAGACATAGTTTGGATATCTTTGATAACGGAAACGTGTACTATGACTTGATGGCCTGCAATTGGGTCAACTTTTGGAAATATGGGAGGCCATGGAGCCTCCAAGCTGAGACGGAGAGTAATCAAATGTGTCATGTTTAATTAAATACAATTAATTAACACCCATATTAATTATTTTACTACATAAATCCGTATGGTTAAATAAAAATAAAAATTTTACAAGTGTTCCTGCTTTCTTTTTGGGCAGCAACTGCACCACCGAATTGACAAATTAGTCGCATTATATGGAATATAAATATGATCTCCATTTGAAAGATTTCACCAATTGCAGATATACCCGGTGTATGAATTTCCCAGACTTGGCAAGTTCCACCAGTGCAGGCGTCAGTTACGTCGCATGAAATATGGGTTGGGTGTGCCTGGTCACCTTTTTTCAAATATTCAATATTCAATTGTGACCTGGAGGAGAAGACCCTTACGTGCATTTATATGGGGTGTCTTAATTAGTCAAATTTACTAGATATGAAAAAAAATACTCTACACGAGCATGCGGCATGTGGTACTTTGCATATTTTGAGGGTAACGTTCTCCAAAATAATCGCAATGCATTAATAAATATTCATATATAATTTTCTTGATATTGTCCTTAACACAGTTGTCAATTAATTAATATATAATCACAACCTAAAGCCTGTACAATAACTCTCCCATTTCTAACCAAACCTCTGTTAGAGCAGAACATATATCTCGATACTCGGAACAAGGTAACCTAACTTGGTGCTTATATCAACCATCGGTATAAACTAAATAATAGCATAAAATTTGCAGAAAATGATCCCTAAAGTGTTCCTCCTACTCGTAATTTTGACTACTCTCCAGGATGTCTCGTGCAGCTGCAAATTTGCTCTCGGCGAAAAAATCGTAATGGGCTACCAATGCAAAGTGCCAGTTGCGAAACTAGTTTTCCAAACAGATGGAAACTTTATCATTTACGATAACCGGGGAAAGGCCACTTGGTCGGCAAAGAGTTTTGAAAATGCTGTGTTGCAGGAAGATGGAAACTTTGTAATTTATGATGTTGACGGGAATGCAATATTTGCGTCAGGTACGGCCGGAAAGGGACAGACCATGGAGTTTCGGGACAATGGTAATCTCGTGATTCTTGATGCTGAAGGAAATTCGGTTTGGAACTCGTGGAGTTTGAGTAATTTCTGAGAATTTTCTAACAAATGGTAACAAATTGATACTTTATGAAAGGACATTTGTATGACAATTATGTAAAATGCATAAAGTGACCTACTACTTCTAAATTAAAAACCACCTAATCTGTGAATCGTCGCCCACATTATTGCCACCAGCCACAGACATTACACGACGCCGCATAGAGTTTTACGTAGTTTCAACTACAATTACTATAAAATTGCAAGAATGTATGTACATTTTCAAAGTTGTGCACATTGATGAAATTTATTTAGTCGGGATAATGTAATGAGAATTCTGCTGACTTATTATTTAAACTAGCTGAGAAGCCCGTCTTCATGACGGTCGCGCAAGAGTGTTTTACCTACTTTAACCTTTACTTACTTGTTATTTCCACCAAACCCAATTTTATTGCCGAAAATTTACAAAATCATGACAAAAAATACCAATAGTACAGATAAAGTGCGAAATGCAATAAAGTTATTTCCATAGTTCGGGGTAGAAGTTGGAGGGGTGGAAGTTGTAATAATAGTTGGGGTTGTTGTATCAATGTCATAAATAAATTCCCATAATGCCGCGTTTTGAAGAACAGTTGTCGAATTCAGGATCGTGACTGGACCCATAGTTACATATGTTGCTGTTGCGTAGTTACCCGAAAAATCATATTTTTCTTTAAATTATGTTTGAGTCCCAAATGAAGATAAAAAGTTCTGATAAAACCATTTTGCGACTAATTAATTGTTCGTTAGTTTAAAAAATACCCTGATTTTTTCCAAATTCCAGAGGTTCGCTAAATAATGAATTTTTCAAGACATGGGTGACGTACTAATTTTTTTTCACGATGAAGTGTGTCATCGATAATAAACAAAATTAAAGTTTATTATGTAAACGACAACCATACACATACAGTGCAAAAAATCCGGTGTAAATATCGTCCGGTGTAGTCACATATGCTAACCGCGTGGTGTAAATCCGGTCGATTTATGTATAGTTTTAACAAACGAGGGCTACTACATTCTCTCCGAGAAATCTATTGTGTGACCTAAATCCAACAGCGATCATAATTTCATGATACTTTGCGCACATTCAAAATATGGTTTATTGTTGCAAGACGAAGCAGATTTAACCAGAAGTTTGAATTTTCTTTCCTTTATATACTCTGCCAAAAAAAACCTCTGATACAGTTAAAACCGGTTATTTTCAACTTTGTCGATTGAAACTGACATACGGGGCAAGGAAATAGTTAAACTGGTTAACTGACCATGTAGATTAAAAGGTCAAGGCACCAGCCCAAATATCACTAATTTTTACATGTTAATTCAGTGGTACTTTTCAAGAGCCGTCTGCCATTTATATCTGCGACGGTCCCGTCACCTTGTCGACACAGTGACGGTTCAAAATTGTCAAAAATAAAATTACGTCGATTTTAAACATTATTTTGGGTGGGTAATCCGAACCATAAGTTTGACCTGCGATGACGCCGTGAAAGTGTTGATGCTGTCAGATCTCAAACATGCCGACATTCGATTTTGACATTTTTCGTCATATTTTTGACATTTTTAACAAAATTCTGTATTTTTTAAAAACAATGTAACGGGATAGGTATTTAGGTTTGAACAGTTTATGGTACCAATTTTAGCCCCCAAATAACGGCGTGCCGCCGCCGCCGAAGATTTTTGAGCCTCACGCCGCCGCCGCCGCCAAATATTGCTCGGCGTCGGGCTCTGAAGAGAGTTGAATGGATTTAATATCCCGCACGTGTCAGAAATAAAAGTATTTCAGAATATGACGAGGAGTCAATTAATTCAGGCAGTATTTACACTAATTCGGATGGTGATGCTGATCTAAATGATGAAAATTACGTCTCCGAAAATGAAGAAATCGAAGACGAGGAGGAAGAATTATTAAATGCAGGTAATTAAAATGAATAGACACGTACACATTTTTTTGAGGCTAAGATTACGACGGTAATTTTATTTCTCTCTTAAGATCAGAATTAGATGACTGAGAAGTGAATATCCTTTAATTGGCCACTTCCGATCAGAGTGTGGAACATCAATTTCGACTCTGGGTGCCAAATTGTAGTTCGGTTTTTATCCTCTTTTTTAAGTCGTTCAGTGGGTGGCCCCTATAAATCAATACCTTGCATAATAATTTTATGTAAAATACTTATGTAATAATAATTGTTGTATGTCCTTTGATTAAATAAGAAAATAATAAAAATTTGTATTACGTCCAACTGGAACCGAATGTGAATCCATTCACCTGCTGGCAGCTCCACCCTCTTTCCCAGCATAATTGTGATGGGGTTCTTTGCATCTTCTTCCTTGACGGTAACTTTCCAAACAGATTCGGACATGTAAAATCCATCTAAAATGGAGGTGTGTGGCACGGTCCCCGTCCAAATGCCCCAGAGGTAATCAGACCACGTTCTTGCTCGTGGTACCTCCTTATCCATTCGTATTTGTGCGAAATACGAAACCGATCCCCCCGAAAAAGGAACTGCATACTGTGGTCCAAAGAACGTCAATCCGTGAAGGCGGATGTCATTACTGGGACACATGAAACTGGAATTTTTGTTTAATTATTTAGTTATTTCAATTTGGAGGTTAAGCTGAAATTTAATTAATTTAACCGAATAATGTACCTGAACGAGTAATGCACACCGCCGTAGTCTCTGCCATTAATGTGACCCACTTTATCATCAACATTTACCTTTCGGCTGAGAATATAAATTGTTTCCATTTTGGGTATGTTTAAGTTGCTGGATAAGAAGGGAGGAAATGGTGACTGAGACAGTGACTCATTCACGAAAAGAAAACGGAAAGTATTCTGGACTCGGAGACTGACGTGAGACAAGTGCTATGCATGGAAATTTGACACCGTCTGAATGTGATCTTTGTTAACTACTTTAAGCTTACAACTCTTGCATGTATGATTTTTTACGATGAACGCTGATGAAGAATTCAGTGTTTGGCATTAAGATTCGCGTATGATTTATATTTACTTTACACTGTTTTCAGTATGTATGCATTTATGTACTGCATAGCATGTATGAAATATGATGTTTAGTTTGTTTCACTTTTATCCAAATCGTCTTCTTTAAACAATCAGATTATTTTAGAATTACTTGTGGGATGCAGAACATTTTAGAATTCACTATTTATTAAGTACCTTTTATTTTTCTGTATTTTTTATCAAATTATTTATTTTCATTGTTTATGTTCTTGTCTACTTATCTATTTATTTTATTAATAGACTTGTATATTTATCATTTATTTTTTAAATGTTCTGCATACCAAACAAGAAATTTACATGTTCTGTTTGTGAAAGATATATTTCGTATCTTGAAAGAACGCTCCCTAAAAATATAAATGTGTGTACTCCCAAAGAACGCTGTCAACAAAAAAAACTGTTCTTTTGTATGTGATAAGTACTTAATGTTCTTCTGGAATTTACACATATTAGTTTGAATTTTTTTTCGAAAATCGTGCACTTTTGAGATTCAGAACATCTTGGATTATTTGTATCGGATTTGTATGTACGTATTTAGTATGTATACGCAGTACACTAAATACATAATTGTTCTGCGGAAGCAGAACACGAAAAAACGTTCCGCATCCAAAAACAACACAAAAGTTGAACGTTCTGTCTCAAGATTTTTAAGTGTTCTTCTGGAGTATACACATTTGACATATTTTGCGAGTCTTCGCTTGGGACACGAAGAACGTTTTTTTGCTAAAATTTTTAGTCATTTATGTTACTTTTAAAATATTTCTGTTCATATAAAACAAATATTTCAAATATTTCTGTAAATTACGTTCTGCCGTGCAGCAAGCTGCACGGCTGAAGTGTTCTGCGCCCTGGGGGACCAAGGGATGTAACCTTTTCTAGGGTTTTATACGGTATAGCTAAGCATGACCCTCATGTAAAATTTTCAAAGAGAGAAAGCGATCATCAGGAAAATCATGCAAGTTTATCATGTGTTAATAATAATAAGGGATGGTGCATAAAGTATGTTGTGTTTGGGGCTACCCATCCCCTTAAAGTTGATATAGGAAGAGAGAGAATGTATTCCTTTACACTTCCACTTCACCTCACGCACTCGGCCGACAAGTTTAACACATTAGTATTGAACGGCCCCTAAAGCCGGTTTTTATTGCTGTCGGTGAAAGCATGATTACAATTGCGACTTACACATAATAAAACTTGGTTTGTAACCGGTGATGCACAAAATGTTGGTAGGACGTTTGACAAAAAAAATAGGTACGGTGCACATAAAACTTGAAATTAAATTTTGAAAATGAAATAACTACATACGGTTGAAAATACAGGGGTATAAGTTGGATATGATGGATTTTATTTCTAATTTTTTCCCTTATAAACGACGCTTCTTAATTTGTTTGACCACCTCAATATGTTGTATGGACCATTTTAAGAGCAAGATTGAAGGTTGTTTTTCAAATTTCAAACAGTACTCCGACAACCATGAAACTTACCAAGTTAGGGACGACCTTATTTGATGGAATTTTTAATCCTCTCTTCTCTAACCGTTTTCTGCTTTTTCGGTGGCATTTTCCAATATAAACCCATGCTTCATCTAATGTCACTACAAATTTGGACCTTCTTCCAGCTCAATATATTCCATAAAGTTTTCTTAAAAGTTATGGCGAGGATATAGTTTAGAGGGTGTAGTCATTCCAAGGGCAGCAGCAGAACATCTGAGCCCGATTTGTTGGATTTGGGACCCTTGGCTCTGAATTATTTAGGTTCTTTCTATTTCAATCCTTCTTTGGAAGAGGCCCGATTATAAGGATCAGGAGCTCCCCTCAAGGGCGACAAAAGTTCTTAACTGTAAGAACTCCGGATCAGAACATTTAATGGTGATTATGGATGTGAAAACCAGATCGAACTCGACCTACGAAATAGTTAAACGAGGAATCACTTTGAAGGAAGTAATTGAAATTGACTAGAACAGGAACCGCGTTCGCTTGCTATAGATGAACAAGAACGATCTATAGATATATGTTTGGAAAACCTTGGAAACCTTTAGAGGCTTTTAGTTTACGTAAAATTATATAATGCAGGAAAACGGCTGACTGCATATGTATAACATTGATTTTTGAAAAGGTATGAACCCATCTTTATGGTGAAAAGTACCTGACTGTAGAGTATAAAGAAAAACAGCTTCAAAATTTTTACAACGTGTGCAATGTTGCCACAGAGACTCTTGTTGGACCATACTAAATAGCTGCTAACTTCCGAAGAACTAACCTAACTTCTTCTCTCCTGTCCAGCTCACATCAATCATCAACGTCTCAGGCTTCCATCACATCCTTCTTCTCTCATCTATACATACAATTTAACTTATATATGCACTAGTACTATATATTTCAGACCAAGTAGGCTATACTCATGTCCTTAATTTTTGGGAGATACGTTGTCTCCCCACATATTGCGGGTTGATACCATCCTAAATTTTCTAAGCATTCATACCCGGATATTAAATTGAAAAATATAAGATCGATCAGCTAGTTCAATCGGTAAGAAATTGTATTACAATCAATTATTCTTTTCCATCCGGCCTTAATATTGAATAATTTATTACTCTCCACAAGCCAATATGGATTATTAACGACCCATCCATCCATGTTGTCTGACTGCGCTCTAACTCCCGAACGGTGTGACTTGCCATTTTTTAACATAAGCTCCTCTAGCTCGTAGAGAAGAATAAGTTTGAAAATGGTCTCCGTCAAGCACGAATTGTTGACCACTGTGCTAATCGTGTGTTCTTGTGTTTCCTTTGTGATTTCTGTTTTTCTTGCCACGGTCATATTCGACAAACCTTACACCAATAATGGCACTGGTCTGTTTCGTGATCCGGAAATCGAGATGGTAAATATGAATAAATTGTAGTCAAGGTTCCTCTCAATTTTATTTGTATTTAGGGAACAGCAGTACAAATTTCGGATCAACGTATCGAAGTATTCATGGATGCCGTTCTTCTCACTCAGGTCAATGTGGACATCAATTCAATTCAATTCAATTTACCTTTATTCAAGTGTTAGTCACATTCAGTCGGTTGGACTGGTTTACAAGTTATAACACACTAAAAAAAATATATATTCTCCATACGGTAGTTAAGGGGTGCCGAAGAGCGGTGCACCTCTGAGTATTTTATGCGAAAATTTGTCGGCGTCGACCCCTGGTTCAGCCCAGATTATTATAGGGTGAAACCCTATAATGTTAATTTCTTGTCTGTCTGTCCGTCCGTCCGTCCGCCTGTCCATATCCACGATAACTTCAGAACAGATTCGAATTTCGACATGCGGTTTTCGCAACGTGCTTCTAATTTTTAAAGTACAGATGAGTTCGAAGATGGGCATTGTAGGTCGTAAGGTCACGGCGCCAGGACAACGACGCCAACCGTCAAAGATGTCGAATTTTTTGTTTTGGTCGTTTTAGGCGTATTTTTGGACGGGAGTTTAAAAAATCGACATGGTTTTGACGTGTGATGACCGAGTGACCGTGTAGACGGGACTACGACTTGGCTTCACCCTATTGCTACATTTCGTTCGCAACGGTTTATTCTTTGAGCATTTTAACTTGAGATACCAACTCTTTATAACAACATTTAGTGCGGCATTTGAGCAGTTCAGTTCAGCCGCTTATGTGCTGTAATTCCTCACGGCATTTTCTTTCGATATGTAAATCCCTGCATTTTAATATACGGTGCATAATGACGTTTTCGCAAAATATTTTTTGAGGTCAATTTATTTTCGTTTTCATGAAAAAGCTGCAAATTTCATTCATTGAAAATTTTTCGAAATCTTTTGCAGTACGAAAAATTTGTAGTTTATTTATTCAAATTTTCGAGGGATTACAAAAATTGCAATTCGCAAAAAAATGACAAATTTTCACGTCCCATTTTATTTTTTATCGATAGGCCAACTCATCCTGAATAATTTGATGTATCATGCACCTCGGTACGATTTTTTTGGACAAAATTAGAATTTTTTTTAAAACGTGGTTTTGGTCAAATTTTCAACTTTCGCCCATAAGCCCCATGTTATAACTTTTTCAATTTGTCATTTGAAAAAAATTCTATAATAATGCGATCGATTTGTGGGGGTAGTGGCCAGAAAACTGTAAGTGGTCAATAATTTGCACCTATCTTTCCGGTTATTTTGCATCAAACTTGGTGATAAATATCCTGGCGTAGAAGACTTATCTTCATCTATATCAAGTATGACTTCCTTACCTAGATTTGCTAAAGCATTATTGAATATTAAAGAAAATTCGTTTCTATGTATGTATAAAAGGCTGGGTAGATGTCATTTTCAAGTTCAAGGCGCCCTAATTTACGAAGGTTAATTTCCAGATAATTGAAATGAAATACGAACATAACCTTTACCACAACCAAGAGCCATTCTTTTGTAAATTGCATAAATTACATACAATTACCTCTCCTGCTCATTAGAGAAAGTTAAATAATTATAGATAATATACCATTTATTGATATTCCCAACATTTCAGGGAATAAACTATATTTATCATGTATTATTTTATTAGGAAAATTCAAATTATTAATGGGTAAACGGCTCTTTCTGTAATAGGCGAAAGGTATTAAGGGCAAAAATATTTTATTTAATGGGTAAAATGAATATAGATGATGGATGTGTAAATTACACGCCAATTTAAATGATTGACTAGAAAACTATATTCCGTGGAATTTTGTGTAAACGTTATGCGATTATTTTTAATTACTTATTCCACCACAGCTTACCCAAT